ACACAAAAAAAAAAATATTTGGAAACAGCTGTTTTGGCAATAGTTGACTTCACAGATTTGATGTCAATAGGATATACAAAACCTATATTTGTAGTCTAAAAGTGATATTTGGTTGTGATTATCAATATAAAATCATAATCTTTACCATATTTCTTTCAACAAACCAAATGCATGCGTGATTACACAAAGACTTTTTCAACTGATAACGGATATCGGGTTCCTAATCATTTTGCCGTCAACATACATATGTATGTACATACTTGATGTTTATCAACAAACGCATCGGTTCCTTATTGCATTTGATATAAAAAATTGTACCTCCACATCTTCCGAGAAAGCAACATAATGGAAGATATAAATGCCAAAAATTGGTCTTATGATATTCTCAAAGAAATAGCGCTGCATGAACCATGGACGCCAGATTCCATCAACGAGGTAAAATCTATGTTTATAAACGACATTGGTTCCCCACGTCGCTACGAATGTATACGTACCATGGGTGATCTAATAGACTGTTTAGAGCGTCGAGATGTAATTTCCGAAGAAAAGGTTGAGCCTCTGCATCTTTTAGGCAGTAAGAAACTCGACGAGGCAATCCAAACTTACAGCCCTGCGCCAAGCGTATGTTTATAAGATATACAATTTAGGGGTTATTTTGTACTTACATATTTATGATTTCAGGCGTTCAAGGCAGAAGGCACCAATCAATACCATGATTTACATATTGCAGATGAATTGTCACATAAGCTATCTATAAACGGTCAAACCCCAGCAACGATGAACGCAAATATTTGTCGGGATAACTCGCGACGTCCAGCTTCAGTTCAAACATCCGTCTGCCCTAACTCAAGTACCAAAAGTTTTCCTATTTCAAACAATTATCCATTTGTGGTAACTGAACAGCAACGTGCCGCAATCTATAAGATGCTTTCGCAACACTTAGGTACCCACTGGCGTATATTCGGCCGCGAATTAGGAATACGTGAAGGCACAATGGACGAAATCGAATTGCAATGCCCTCGTGAGTTGAGTACACGGGTTTACAAAGTATTGAAAATATACGAAGAGGATGATTGTAATGATCCCAAAATGCATTTACGTACTATAAAAGAGGCTTTGGAACGCGCTCGTCGCAAAGATTTACGTCGTAAAATCGATGATATCATATCTCACTGATATTAGTGATATTTTGAAGAGCATTTATTTGTATTTAACCGTTAAAGTGATCAACGTAAATAAAATGTACTGCGGCGAAAACGTTAAATATTTGTGGGCTTACATAAAATAGGGCGATCTTAGTTTACTTAGCTTAACACGCTTTTTGTAGTTCATGAATGATGGATTTATAAAGTGTTAACGTTTTAATTGTAACGATATCCTTTCATAGCAGGCAGTACATATCGTCACCGACTCTACCAAACTTCGAAGCCTTTAAAAAATATTAACATCAATACAAAGAATAGCCTTTTAAGCATTTGCCTTGCTCTCTGTAAAATATACATACAATTCGCGAAGTAGTGAATTTTCCATTGATGACAAGGGAATAGTAAGTGATTTGGAGCCTGTTGAGGACAACCTTATTCTTAAACGCACTAATACGGTGTTCGCATGAGGCAATTTTAGAGGCGATTAGTTCAATCAAAAGTTGGCTGCACGCCAACTTCATTGGAAACGATTAGTTGAAAAGTCGTTCACACCAGGCGATTTTTGCTTTCAACTAAAATTTGCCTGTAAAATCGCCTCATGCGAACACTGTATGATGCACAGCAACAGTCCAAACCTAAGGAGTGGAAGTATTATATGTGGGCGGATATTTCCGTCATTATTTAGAAATAAGAGGCTAATGCTTTGCATTAGTGCGTTTAAGAAAGCAGCCCTCTACATACATGTGTACATCGAGAGATGTGTCGGGTTGCGTCACATCTGAATCGTCAGATTATTGAATGGAAGCTTCATTCGGGCTTTCTTAACATCCCTTGTGAATACATGACGCGCTTGAGTAAATTGTGTACTCCCACGCACATACAACAGAGTATTTCGATGGGACTGTTTATACAATTTTGAACGTCTGTAGATCAACCACCGCTGAAAGAATACATCACGTACCTTTTCTTTCATTCATTTAGGGCCGGTTGTTCAATTTCTGGTTATCACCAGTACATCAGTATCGATAAAGCAGGCTTTGTATTTAACCGGAACTTCTCCCTCCGATTTGTGTTAATCAGACATTGACCAACCGGCCCTTAATCTTCAAAATCCAATAGGTCCCCACAGCGCTCGAGTAGATCCCGATTAACCACCGTGGGCTCCGCAACTAAAAGATATAAATATTTCGTTTGGTGCAAAAATATCCATTTAATAAACTTGCATAAATTATGTTTTATTAAATTTATTAGATTTAATTCCATATTCGTTTACATTAAAACACGCATAGGATTGGATAACGACTACAATTGTAAGCGAACTAAGTCATACCCAGCAAATAGTGACAATGAAAGCAGTCAGTCCCGAAAAGCTTCAAGTTTTTAAAGCAAGCTCCGTTGGCTTTTATGCATATCTACGATTATAATTGTGGCTGAAAGACCTGCTTTGCAGTTTCATCGCTTCTCCCTATCATCAATATTAAATATATTTTCCTTCAATTTTATAATAGCGTTTTAGATTTCATCGTCACTAATTTGCCTGGAATAGGCGTTGTATTTGCATTTGTGTCTACCACTGCTTCCATCTCTCCTATAGTAAAACAAATTTGTATCTTCATTTAACAAAGTTTTCTTGTATAATTTGTGTTGGTGTATTATTTGGGTGTTTGTTTATGGTGTGCGGGTTTTAATTCCGTTAACTCCTTACATATTCAGCTACCATGAAATAGGTTTTTGAAGCGCCAACTCTGCGATTCAATATCTGAATAAGCAACGTCGATGACTACTTGCAATGGTTGGCTTGGCTTGGTTGTGTGGATTTTAGTTGTGTAATTTTCCTTTGTAGTTCTTCGATTCTTTAAATTAATTGTTATTGATTCGCACGATTAGTATATTAAATATTTTCTTGACTCGATTAACTAACGGGTTTTCAGCGTTCATGTATATGGATGTGTGAGGGGTAGTAAACGTATGTAGTTTTT